CTTCACTTTAGTACCTTACTACTTTATTTACTATGGTCACCATAATTACTAATCTTGGAAATTGTATATCCAAACCTGTGTTTGGTTTGGAAGTGTTTGGGTGTAGTGAATCTGGATTTTCAAAGGGGGGATGATCATGCCTGACCCACATGATAGCTTTTTGACCACCAGATGTTGACTTCATGGACAAGGGAAGATTAGTAGTTGCTGTTTACCTAGAGTTTAGCAGGTCTTTCCTGCTCGAGTTGGCCCAATGTATGGCCATGAACATGATTAAAGGACTGGAGCACCTGTCATAAGAGAGGCTGCATTAGCTGGGACTGCTTAGCATGGACTAGAGAAGACTGAGGGGTATCTTGCCAATATAGATTCATTTAGGTTGGAAAAGACCCTTAATATCAAGTCCAGCCATTAACCTAATACTATCAAGTCCACAACTAAACCATGTCAAATTGTAAGTGCTATGTCAAATTATGTATTATAAAAGCCCAAACAACTGGTGGGGTGACTGAAGAAGGTGGAACTGGATTTTCCTTAGTGATGCCCTATGTGACAGGACAAGAGGCAGTAGGCACAAATTGAAACACATGGGACTAGATCTGAAGAGAAGAGAATACTTAATTGCGAGGGTGGCTGAACACAGGAACAGTGTGTCCACAGAGGTAGTGGAATCTCAGTCTGTGACATAGCAAAACCATGACTGCTTGTGGCCCTAAGCAACCTGCTGTCATTGATCCTGCTCTGAACAGGGGGTTGGATGAGACAGTCTCCAGAGGTCACTTCTAACATCTGCTGTAGCAGGATGTAGGTCACTTCTAACATCAGTAGCTACTTGACCTGTCTGTGCCAGAGGGATGTACACAGAATTTACTTCAAGTAGAAAAATCAGACCTCAGGTGAACTACAGGTTTGGCTTCTCGGCAGGTATGGTCACATCATTGGCTTAAGCACTCCTTTTCATGTCATCACTGATGTGATACATGACTGAGTTGGTTTTGAATGCTTCCCACACCACCTTCCTCTACTCTGTGTCAAGTCTGGTGTGTGAGTGTATAGGCAGGAATGAGAGAGGGTAGGAATGCTTTGTTTAGTGACCATGCAGTTTTAGCTTGGTATTGGTCAATACAGAAAAACACAAGTTCAGTCCCTTGTTGGTTGGGATCCTTTGGGGAAAAGGTGGCTGGTAGCTGTGGAGTGTGTGTGGGAAGGGGTGGGTTGCATTTAACTTGTGCAGGACATTGGAAGAGAGAAGTGATTACTGCGAGGGGAATGTACAGTATTTAGCTGGCTATAAGGGGAAAACTTACTATGCTTTCAGGAATGGTGCAAATACTGCATTAAAGACTTGTAGTGTCTGGCAGAGATTTTTCTCATGGGTGTTTTGTGTGTATTCTTGGCAATCTGAACTGATAAAAAGGTGGTGATGGTGCAGGGGAAGAATGAGGTTTAAATTCTCCTGTTTGTAGCTGTGTATCTTGAATACTGTGAGAGCTCTTCCTGATCCATAATTGGTTTACCCATAATTTCCAAAATGACACTTGGATGCACTGGGTGATTTATATTGACTGTGGTGATTATGTGGATACGTGTAGGTTCATGCAGTTGCTGCTGTGGCACAATATTACTTGATTTGCCTGTGTTCACTGTCTAGCTGGAGCTCCTCAGAGTAGGAGTGTGGGGAATGTTCTGTAGAAACTCCTTAGGAAAAAGCAGCCTTCTGTTCTTAACCTTTTGTAATAGATGATAATGAAATGGAGCAAGTGCATGGGGGAACTTGATCTGTTTTCTCATGGATGGGCGAGTAGTAATGACTTTCTACCTGCTGCCCCCCCCCTTTTTTTTTTTTTAAGCCTTATGCAATGCATTATTTATTGACTTCAGTGTATAAGTTAACATGATGAGGTTAATTCTCACAGGTGCAAATTGATTGAAAGGAATAATGTTAGTATAGATTTTTGCTTCCTGATGTTTTCTGGTCTCAGAGTTAGCAAGGACAAAACAAAGGATTCTACTTGTGTGGGTGAGGGTTCTGATGGGAGCCTTCCTATTAATACCTGGGAAGTATGTGTTGCTCAGCCCGTTTGGTTTTTATTTGCATCTGTTAACATGTCAGGCAAAAGCTAGTGTCTTTGTCTTGGAGTAATGAAGGCAGGGGCTTCAGGGTGTGCTTTCATTCTTGAGGTGTGGGTTTATTTTATAGCTGTTGAAAGAAAATTCTAATTCTGGAGTTATTTTTATGATAAGGATTGAGATACAATATTGGTGTTGGAAAAAAGTCTCAGATTAGTCTATGAATGAGAGGAACCCCTGTACACCTATAAGCCTGGCTGCTGTATTTCTAAGTGGAGAGAGGCACTGTGAGTGGCCTAACTTGACTCTGGTGGGCTTGGTGCCAGAGCAGTCAGGTGTATTGCTGCAGTGGATTGGAGGCCCAGCCTTCTGCTGCTCTCTTGAATTGCCCCTAGGACCTCACCTGACTGGAAATTAATCTCTCTTCTCAGATGTGTTCCTTCATTGCTTGTATCTGACACCCTCCCACTTTGTATATCTACCTTTTCTGTGAGGTTTTTGAAGATTCGTAGCTGACAGTGTTCATGTGTGAGAATTGTGGACTTGCACAGCACAATTTAGTGTAGTGAAACAATTAAACAGCTCTGAACTGAAACATTATGCCAGTCATTCAAGTTGCTGTTTACTATTAGCATATTTTGCATTTTGGCTTCTAATGTATACTAACTCTTCAGTGTATTCTTAATGAAGCAGTTCACTTAATTTGACACTACCCCCCCCTTTCACCTTTCCCTAATGAAAATGTAGCTACCAAGGGAAGAATACATCAGATGAGGAAGTCTGTCTAAGTGCTTTGTGTCCTAGTGTTTTATGTTACATTCTCGGTTCCTGGAGGAAAGGATTCAAAATCAGGGTAAGAAAAACTTGGAAGTCAGAAATGGAGTAATATTTTCAAATGAGAGCTGGTCTGTTCTCATAGTTTACTAAGAGTTTGTCAATCCTCTGGTATGAGGTCTTAAACTAGAATATTTTTGGAGATAGTCTGGCTCAGTAGCAGATTACTGAGCTCAGTGTTGGAGTATCTGGTGGAACTAACCAGTATTTTATGCATGAGGCCAGACTGGAATCTTACAGTAACTTTGAACTTTGAGCTGTGTTTGTGTTCACAGATGACTGTCAAATAATAGCTGCTTCACTGCTGAAATTTTAGTGGAATTTTTGCAACTGCTGCAAATCGTCTAAAGTGTGCTGGGATTCCAAAATTGTTTAGCTTAACTGGGCATTAACTCTTGAGAAATATGTATCTCTCAAATCTTAAACATACTGGTTTTGTTTCTGTTCTCAAGTTGAAACCCTGGGCCTTTTCATTCTTCTGGCAAATAATTATCAAATCCTTAAAACAGTATTTTGTGCTTGGTAACTGGAGTTGATTACTTTGTTCTGAATAGCAGAAAAAATTAAGGACTTCTTGAATTAACATTTTAGTGTAGATTCAAAGGTGTTGCTGCTGTTCTAATCACCATTGGTTTTTTTGCTTATCAGTGACTGATAACAGCATTTCTGAGCTTGAAGTGAGGTGGAGGCAAGTGGATTTTGGTGAGAGATCTTGAGATTGCTGAAATGTCGTGATGCCTTCAGGCAACCACTGATGCCTCAAACATTTTAAAAAGGAGTCTCCAACTTCGGGGAATTAATTATCCCTCTGAGGCAAATCTTGTGTGGTGTAACCAAAAGGAGATATGATAAAAGAATATGCTTTTTAATTTCCTAAAGCTAACCACATAATAGGAAGAACTCAGTCAAGCTTGTGCCTGACTGCCTAGCAAAGAAATCTGCTGCTGAATGATGAGCAGCTTGTGAGGAAATAGTATGTTATGGAGCAGAAGAACATCGGTGATGATTTGTCCTGCAGTCTCTGCCAAGATGTACCTAGCAGGAATCCTTGAAGCTGTTGAAAGCAGAGAGGCTAAATGTGCTATGAGTTTTGCAGGGCCTGTTCTCTGTCTTACCACTTAAATATCTTGCAGGAGCTGCAGAAGTGAAGTGGTCAGGGGGTGGTTAGTCACATACTAGTTCAGTTTGGGTTTTGGGGTCACTTGCTGGCTTGGGAAGGTATGGTAAGCATTATTAAACTGAATTTTTCGTTTAATGTGCTGATGACATAAGTAAGGGAAGGAAATGAGCACGGGTTTTGTAAAAAATGAGGGAGAAGTTAGTGGAGTGTGGCAAGGAAAGCAAATGCCAAGCAAGGGGGAACCACATGTCTGAAGTGACAAAAATTGTGTACATTTGCAAGTACATGCACAAAATCTTTGAATGTACTGGCCTTGGAGCACCTGTTCCTATCCTCCCCAGAAAGAGGGTTAATACAAGTTTAAAGTGAGCAATGCAAAGTTGCAGAGACTGGAACGTGTAATTATGGCCCCATTTCTTTTATACTTTTAATGTCCCAAATACTTGGCTTGATTGTGGGTAGGGCAGAGTGGGTAGGATAGTTTGCCCTGTCTAGTTTTTCAGTGCCTTTTGAAGAAATGTTTAGCTGTAGGACAGGGCAACTCTTAATTTCTCAGGACACTGTTTTCTTTCTGGGATTGTTGTTTCCAAGTGATTTAAAAAGTAATTGTATGAGTAAGGGCATGCCTGGACTGTGATACAGTAGGTGACCAATAGTAGCCATAATTAAAGTACTCTTATACCATCTATTGTAGATAAACGCTCTTACTCAGGAGTAAAAAACTAATAAAACTAATATTAAAGAAAATTGCACTGAGGAGCATCTCCTAGGGATGAGGGAGGAGAGGTACATCAAAGCTATTGTTCAGATGGCAGATGGAACTCAAAGGTACTCCAGGCTGACAGTAAATACTGGTCAGCCTTTTTTAAAAAAAAAAAAAAAAAGCAGAACTGACTTTAATGGAAAATCCTTACTGATTTCTTTTTTTTTTTTTTTTTTTTTTTTTCTCCCCCCCCCCCCCCCAATCATGCAGCTGATTGCAATGCTGTTCTTAAAGCTCTACAGCCCATTTTTCAGGAGCAGGGAATGACAGAAACAGTCCATAACTGGGAAGACCATGGTTATTTAGCAACCTACATCAAAAAAAATGGCAGGTGAGTGGATTTTCTTTGTTTTCCTATAAATTGTCCCCTCTGTCCTCACTTACAGGTAATTATTTCTGTGTTGGATCTCCTGAGGTGCAGGCAGGGGAAGCTATTATTTTACCAGCCTTATGTATAAAGTGACTGAAATAAAGCAGAATACTGTTGATAATCTTGCCTGTGTCATCTTATACTTTGTATATCAGTATAGTTGAATTGGTCAGTCTGGGCTGTACTGATGCAGTAGCATTGTTCTGGTGTCTTCATCTCAGGGCCAGTCCTTCCAGATGCAGGATAGTTCATGTCAGTTAAAAGTATTTGTAATTCTTCTGTCTGAGCATGACTAAATCCAAGCTTAAATGGCATGTGAATAATGAAAACTTTTCTGTCCTTTTCTCTTGAATATGCTTTTTTAAACACTTTATATACTTCACTCGCACAGTCTCCTGTAACATCCTTGTACATAAGCTTAGGAAATGTGAGTTAGATGAATGGACAGTGAGGTGGATCGAAAACTGCCTGAATGGCAGAGTTCAGAGGGTTGCAATCAGCAGAGTAGAATCCAGTTGGAGGCCTGTACTTTGTGTTGCCCAGATCTGGTCTTATTCAACTTGTTTATCAATAACCTGGGTGAAGGGCTGCAAGTTTGCTGATGATATGAAGCTGGGGGGAGTGGCTGATACACCTGAAGGCTGTGCTGCTGTTCACAGCAGGACCTCAATAGGCTGGAGAAGGAAAGGGGGTCTGATGCAGGGCCACAAAGATGATCAGGGGTCTGGAGCATCTCTTACAAGGAGAGATTGCAGGAGCTGGGTGTGTTTAATCTGGAGAAGAGAAGACTGAGAGGGGATCTTATTAATACATGTAAATATCTCAGAGGTGGGTGCCAAGAGGATGGTACCAGACTTCTTACAGTGGTGCCCAGGACAAGGAGTAAGCTAAAGCACAAGAAGTTTCAACCTCAACATGAGGAAGAACTTCTATTAACATTGAGGGTGACAGAGCACTGGAACCGGCTGTCCAGGGATGTTTCTGGAGACATTTGAAATCCGCCTGGATATGTTCCTGTGTAATCTGCTGTAGGTGGCCCTACCTTGGCAGGGGATTTGGACTAGATGATCGCAAGAGGTCCCTTCCAACCCTAACAATTCTGTGAATCTGAACTTCTCAAGCAGCTATTGAAGTAACTGACAGCATGACAAAGGTGGTTAGTATCATTAGTGATACATAAGCAGAATCTGCAGGGATAAGCAGGTAAGCAAAACCACATTAGCTTTATTTCCTGAAGCTGCTTTACAGTGTCAGGTTTAGTTAATTATGGACACACTTATTTGGCCTGTTTGTTAGTAGCTGCCATAATTTTATTGCACTTAATTTGTTCCTGACATCCATTGTGGCAGTCGTTACTTTTGTTCTTCTTGAAATCTCCACGTATGTTGTTCTTCAGGGTTGGGGTTAACCTATGTAAACTTTAATTTTTTTTTTTTTTAATTTATATAAACTTAATTTGTTGGTTGTCTTCTCCTGGGTGTCCTGTTAAGTACCTCATTTGGTCACACTCCAAACATACGAGAATTGCCCAACAATTTTTAAGTTCTCTCTGTAATGAAAGAGAGAGAGAACCAGTATCTCTAGAAGGAAGACTCAGATTGTAGGCAGGTGTGTTGCCTGCTGAAATTCATGTCTGTTTACTGTGTGTGAACATTTGTATGTACAGCTCTGAATTTTATATATAGCATAGACCATCAATGTTGTAAACTTGGGGCCTGACTTAAGGTAACAAGCTGATAAGAGTCCAGTACTAAGCTTGTATCTTTTATAGTCATGCTCCATGGAGTTCGAGATATTTCAGTTAGCTTTTCAAATGTGACACTGGCTTTTTCTGATCAAAATTGTTTGGTTTTCTTAATGCTTGATAGGCTTAGAAAAACCAAATGATTTTGTTTTGTTTTTTGTACAGTCTTTCTTATTCTGTCTCTAGTTACGTGTGCTTTTATATATTTCCTGAGTAATTTGATCAAGATTCCAGTTCTGGATATCCTTTTCTCTGTGAAAATATAGCAAAAGTTGGTAACTTGCTACTCCGGTGTTGTCTTTCCTCTGTACTGGGTTAAGCTTGTATTTACTTATGAAAAGGTAATATCAAGTATACATGAATTCTGAACAATTAAAAGGTAAAACATCTAGATTTAAAAAGGGCTTAGAAGATTTAAAGGTTGGCTTGCTTTGATTACATGACCTTCCAGTGTTTCCTTGAGTTTGAAAGTGACATGAGAGATGAATCCTCAAATTGTCTTTCCTTTTTGCAATGTTAGCTGATCATTTCCCTGTTGGAAGACAGCCTCTTCTAAAGGATCAGTTTCCAGAGTTAACTTACATGTGTTCTGACATGCTCCTGGAACTTCCTAGAAAAGTTGTCTGTTGTATAACTTTTGCAGGAGATAACTGGCATCTAGAAGCATATCTAAGGGCCTTGCAAATCTCTGAATTTTAAAGTATTATTTCTCTTACTACACTGCCAACTGAAAATTACTGTTTTTCCAAATTCCACTGTCTTCCTCAAGTGCTAGTGTACAATACCAATGAATGTTTGAAGGGGGAGAAGAGTATGTAAGAGTTGACATGTCTGTGTAGAAGAGGTGGGGAAGACTTCATGGGAAGGACGAACCTGTGCACTGATATACATTCTGGTCATTGTAGCAGAAGTTGGTCAAATAACTTCCATGGTGAAGCAGAGCCCTGGAGCGATATCCTAGGTGCTCTGAGTATGGGCTTGGGAACTTGACATACTGGAGAACTGTAAATAAAATCTCCAGTCAGTTTTTTGGTGCTTTTGATAACTGGTCTCAAGTAGATGGGGGGGGGGGGGGGAAAAGTTTCCTGAAAGCCATGTGTAATGGATTAGCTTCAGCAATTACTCAATACTCATTCTGGTTTTTAAATGTGGTTTCCTGTGCATCTTGTTGATCTTGTGTCTTCCAGCAGCTTGACACTTTGAATCATTCAGCTTTTCATTACACTGTTAAATACAACTTAAACTTTTGCACCAGAGGTAGTTTACTGTTGTGGGAAGGTGAAGATAAAGGGAGATGGGTCTAATGGCTTTCCTGTAAGGAAATAATTGAGGGTCTGTTATGTTGGGTCTTGGTTACCTCTTGCCAACAGTTCACTGAGCAAGGGCAAGTACTCGGGCATCTATACTGCTGGTGACAGCCAACTTTGTTGCTTGGATTTCTTTAGGACTACATTAACAGTTTGTCAGCTGGCAGGGCCTTGGGTTGATGTGTTCCAGAGTCCTGTCCCAAAAGGCAGTGTTGCTGAGGCTGCACAGTTTGGGCAGCTTCTGCTCTCACAGTTGTATCAAGTAATCATGTGGCCTTACTTTTCTTACATAAAACCTTCTTGCCACACTCCAGGGCGTGCAGTGTGTACAGTGGCTTGAAAATACTTGGTGATTGCAGCAGAGCCCTTGCATCACTTGAGATGCTTTGATGTTGTACTTGGTGGGTTAAGGAAGAAACTTCACTTACTGTCTTGGGGCCACAGGAATACAACGTGGGCCACAGGAAGAGATGGGGCTAAGTGGTGTAAGAAAGGATGTGGCCTGTTGGTTCTTTGGGAATATTCATCTCCTTGAGCCTTCTGGCCTCAATGCAACAAATTTAGTGAAGTACTGGTTCTCATCTGTTTAACCTTATGTGCTGGACATGCCATTCATCTTTATAATTGACAGTGAGAAATGTGATAGAGAATACTGAGTTTCAGGAAAAAAATTGAACTCAAAGGTGCTCTAAAGACTGAGGCTTCAAAGACAGACATGGGCTTCAGCACCATTTTTGCCTTCCCTCATTCATAGGGGCTGACTGAGTTGCTCTGTCACTGCCCATTTGACATGTTGTGTTTTTTAGCACTCAGGTGTGGAAGTCTCCTCTTCTCCCTGTAAACATGCAGATGCTGCAACCTTGCTTTCCCTCTTACCCCATGTGTACTGTACTTCATTGTCTGCCTCACTAATCCAGCTGTTAATAGACTCCCCCAGCAGAAATATGGTTAACTGTCAAAATTTTAGATGAGTTTGGTTTTAATTTCAAATTACTGTTGTCAGATAAATGTTAAAATGGTACAAGTGTTGTCAGTTCAAAATTGCATTTGCTAATGAAGACTGAGAATTTACTTCACAAGGATTCAAAGTTTTAATACAGTAGAGATCTGGAAAATAGTTGAGCTGTTAAGAGAAACTATCCAGGAAAGCACACTAAATATAATAAGGAATTGCAGTTTGATACAGCCTCAAAACTGAAGAATGAAGAACAGGAGTACATGGAAGACCTGAACATTGAGAAGGTTGTTTGCTTTGCAAGTGTCCCTTTTTTTTCTGGTGCAGTGTTAAATGTAAATTAATAAAGAATGATTATTACTTTCTCCTGGTATATTCGTTGCAGTCTGAACTCCAGTGCATACTGGATTTATCTTCCCTGGAAATTACTCACTTCAGCTAGACAACTTACTGTCTGTGTCAGTGTGCTTTGCCAGTCTCATTAAACTCTGGATTTGGGAACAGTAGCATGTGCAGAACTTCCTGTGTGTTCTGGGGCCTCAGCGGTTTTGTTTTCTTGAGCTTTCAGATCCTTTACACTGCATATACTTTAAGGCAGCCTTAAATATAGACTATTTCCATTAATGTCCATTGATGTGGTTTTGGTTAACTGGTACAATTAAGGGTGTGAACACTGGAAGTCCAATAGACTAGACAGCTAAACTCTGCAGAACAGCACCATTTCAACGGTTCATTCTTGCCACTCAGGTAAGAATGCAAGGGAACACCACCTTTTATGAGAGAAAGCTGCCTTGGAAATGTCTTGGATTCTTTTAATTAACTGACAAACCTGCTTTCTTAAGTGATAGCAATCCAAGTGGTAGTTGAAAAAAAAAATCATACAGAGGATTTGATAATAACTAAAAAGGGCTTTAGTCTTGTACTAGCAAATTTGTCTGCGTTTTGAGACCTAATG